GCGGAGAACATCAGACAGCCAAGGGGCAGAAGGGGTGGTACAGGCTGACCTGGAAAACAAGGGGCAGATAGTGTCTAAACAAGATGTAAGAGTGGAGCAGAAAGTATCAGTAGCACTGTTAGCATCAAGAGATGCTAACTGTTTAGGGGGAGGAAGCGAAGATGAAACCATAGCAGATAGCCGGGAGGGTGAGAGTGAGTGTAGGTTACTTCGAAAGATGACATGTGGAGGGGTATGATTACACAATGAAGCCAGTGTAATGCTTTAGATGATTGTTTGAAACCAATGATTCATTACATACATTGTCCTTCAGCTGGGTCTGGATATGGAGGAGCTGCAGGAGATGGAGGAAGATGCTGGACTGGGAAATGGAGGCCTTGGTCGTCTTGCTGGTTAGTAATCTGACCTCAGGTTTGAAAGAGGAACTACCATCCTGAGTATGTATTTTTTGAACTTTGCAAAAGAAAGTCTGAAACTAGAAAGCACACTCACCTTGGTCTCTCTCTGATTTTGTCTGTTAGCTTGCTTCCTGGACTCTATGGCTTCTCTTGGTCTGGCTGCCTATGGTTATGGCATCCGCTATGAGTTTGGTATCTTCAACCAGAAAATCTCCAGTGGCTGGCAGGTAGTTTAAACTACCTTTAATAGTTTGACTTGAATAAAAATAAACACTATTAATTAGTAGTGTTTGCTATTTCTCACACTAAGGGTTAGGGGTTAGTAAACTACTGTCTAGCAACCACCCAGACCAACTTAGCAACCACGCCACACAGCATATTACAACATTATGCAGAAATTTTACTTAAAATTAGACATCTTGAATAATATTGATGATTGACAGGTGGAAGAGGCAGACGACTGGCTCCGCTATGGTAACCCATGGGAGAAAGCGCGCCCAGAATATATGCGCCCTGTCCACTTTTATGGTAGGACAGAGCATCACCCAGATGGAGTGAAATGGGTGGATACTCAGGTATAGCATCACCATTCATTAAGCTGTATGTTTGTGTGTGTTAATGCTATACTCATAAACCTATTTCATATAATTTCCACAGGTTGTCTTAGCTTTGCCTTATGACACCCCTGTACCCGGATACAGAAACAACATTGTAAACACCATGAGGCTGTGGTCTGCCAAGGCTCCTTGCGAGTTCAGCCTGAAAGACTGTGAGTACCAGCAACAGTTACCGTACATGCTGAGAAGACCAGGCTAAATTATACTAAAAGTGCGGTCACATTTGCTGTTGTCCGGTGAATTTTTGTTGGTGAAATTTAGTCATTCCAATAGGAATCTATGGAAGCTTGTTTCTGCCACTGAATAAAAAAATGTGTGGCCTTTTGTCTCAAAATTTTCTTCCTCAGAATTGTGTGATATAAACTTGCAATTGTGAGAAATAAAGTCAGAATTGCGGGATATAAACTCCCAAATCTGACTTTTTTTTTTTCAATTGCGAGTTTACATCTTGCAATTCTGAACTTTTTTTCCTCAGAACTGTATGATATAAACTCAGATGCAAGTTTTAAAGTCACTTGCAATTGCAAGTTATTAAGTCCAATTCTGACTATTTTCTTACAATTGCGAGTTTATATCTCACAATTCTGGCAATTGTGATCTCAATTCTGACCTTTTTCTCAGAATTGCATGATATAAACTCACAATTGTGTTATAAAGTCAGAATTACAAGAATCCTGAGAAAAAAGTTTATATCTCGTAATTCTGACTTCATAACACACAATTGTGACTCCATATTGTGTGATTCTGACTTTATAACATGGAATTGCGTGTTTATATCATGCAATTCTGAAAAAAAGGTCAGAATTGAGATGTAAACTCACAACTGCAAGTTATAAAGTCAGAATTGTGAGATAAAAAGACGCAATTACCTTTTTTAATTTTTATTCAATGGCGGAAACAAGCTACCATAGGAATCTGGGCAAAAACTAAGGGCGAAAAAATTCCCCAAGGAAATTTTGCTCATTTTTAAGTTGGTCACATGAATTTGCCTCACTGACCAACAGTCAGTGGTTTGAATGTGACTTCTGTGTGAGCTGTGCTTCATACATCCCTATGCTATTGACAACAGACGTACCTTTTTGCCTGCAAAATGTCAATACAATTTTGCTATGTGACCGCACCTTGACCAGCTTAACCATTCAAGCTGGTGTCTGACTCGCATGTTCTCCTCCCATCCTCAGTTAATGTCGGTGGCTACATTCAGGCCGTGCTGGACAGGAACCTGGCGGAGAACATCTCTCGTGTGCTCTACCCCAATGACAACGTCAGTAAACACACAACTGATCCTCAATTTAAATTAATAATTCATAGAAAATGGATATTTGGTCAATATTTACTTACCCACATGTAATTTCAAACCCAAAATGAGAAATTTTGAGGAAAACCCTAGCAAACACCTATATTTGCATAGCAACAACATAGAACACCCTAGAAATATCAGAACATCATCACTTCATCTGAGGCTCTGGAACGCTGGCCTATCGACCTCTTTCAGACCCTGCTGCCACGGCACCTCGAGATCATCTATGAAATCAATCGCCGCCACCTGGAGGTCTGACTTCAACAGAACACAAAACCATAACATGTTTTGACACTGAAAATAGTGGTCAAGATTTGGCTGATTGGTTTCACTATGGTGCAAGCAAAGGCATGTTTCTTTATTGACAGCATCCAAAAGTATCAAAATTTCCAATATCCAATCATCAAAATTTTTTAACAAAAACTGCCATTCAAAAGTTTCAGGTCAGTACTATTTAAAAAAAAAAAAAAAGAAAGAAATTAAAGGAATAGTTCACCCAAAAATGAAAATTTGATGTTTATCTGCTTACCCCCAGGGCATCCAAGATGTAGGTGACTTTGTTTCTTCAGTAGAACACAAACGAAGATTTTTAACTCAAACTGTTGCAGTCTGTCAGTCATATAATGAAAGTGAATGGGAATCACGGCTTTGAGAGTTAAAAAAAACATACACAAACAAAACCAAATTAAACCCTGCGGCTCGTGACGATACATTGATGTGTAAAGACACGAAACGATCGGTCTGTGCAAGAAACTGAACAGTATTTATATTGTTTTTTTACCTCTGATTCACCGCAATGTCCAAACTGTCCTGAGAGCGTTTGCGTCCTCTTCTTCTTGCTTTACGGCAGATCACAGACTGCATTACCGCCACCTATCTCACAAATGGGCCATTGACACTCCTAATTGAGATTGTAGATAGAGTGTCAATGGTCAATTTGAGAGATAGGTGGCGGTAATGCACTTATAAGTCTGCGATCCGCCGTAAAGCAAGAAGAAGAAGAAGACGCTAAAAAACTATATAAATACTGTTCAGTTTCTTGCACAGACGGATCATTTCGTGTCTTTACACATCAGTGTATCGTCACGAGCCGCAGGGTTTCATTTGGTTTTGTTTGTGTATGTTTTTTTTGACTCTCAAAGCCGTGATTCCCTATCACTTCCATTATATGACTGACAGACTGCAACGGTTTGAGTTAAAAATCTTCGTTTGTGTTCTACTGAAGAAACAAAGTCACCTACATCTTGGATGCCCTGGGGGTAAGCAGATAAACATCAAATTTAAATTTTTGGGTGAACTATCCCTTTAATAGTTTTATTCAATGAGGATGCATTGAATTTATAAAAAGCGACAGTAAAGACTTTTACAATGTTAATGTATTATGTGTTTAATGTGTGTAAATGTATTCAAAAATAAATGCTGTTCTTTTGAACTTTCAATTAATGAAATAATCCTGAAAAAATGTATCACAGTTTCCACAAAAATATTAAGCAGCATTGCATTTTAATCATTTTTCTCATGTCCAAAATCAGAATATTTGAATGATTTCTGAAGGATCATGTGACACTAAAGACTGGAGTAATGACTGCTAAAAATTCAGGTTTGCCATCAAAGGAATAAATTACATTTTAAAATATATTTAATTAGAAAACAGTTATTTAAAATTGTAATAATATCTAACAATATTTTTACCATCAAAAACCAATTTTTATCAACCAAAAAGTTTTAAACTCATGTCCAAAATCAGAATATTTGAATGATTTCTGAAGGATCATGTGACACTAAAGACTGGAGTAATGACTGCTAAAAATTCAGGTTTGCCATCAAAGGAATAAATTACATTTTAAAATATATTTAATTAGAAAACAGTTATTTAAAATTGTAATAATATCTAACAATATTTTTACCATCAAAAACCAATTTTTATCAACCAAAAAGTTTTAAAACTGTAGTAAATAAATCATCAAATATCAATGCTAAAAGATGCCATAACTGCAAACTGAGTTTATTGAGTTATTGTATACGGAACCCAGTCTGTTTGTTGTTGTAGCATGTGTCCTCTCTTTACCCCGGTGATGTGGACCGCATGCGCCGCATGTCTCTCATTGAGGAGGGTGGACAGAAGAGAGTCAACATGGCTCATCTGTGCATCGTCGGCTCTCATGCAGTCAACGGTGTGGCACGAATCCACTCGGACATCCTCAAAGCTACCGTGTATGTATTCAAACACACATACAGAAACACTATATTAACCAGATATCTTTACATACATTCAGACGTGCCGTATGACATTCAGTTCCTCAACAGCCTGAAATTGAAGTCATCAGATTCAGATCATTAAATTGAATGTTCACTGAACTGAACCAGTGAACAAATTGTGCTGTTTATCCAGTTCACGAAATGGACTGAACGATTTCTTGCTGAATTGTTCTTACTGACTCATTCACCCGATAACAGGAGTTCTCAGTGAATGTTTGACTTAAATTTCTATTGGTTTTGAATGACATGAGGGTGAGTAACTAATGACTACTATTCATTTACTAAATAGATTCAAAGACTTCTATGAGATGGATCCACACAAGTTCCAGAACAAAACCAATGGTATCACCCCTCGCCGTTGGTTGGTGATGTGCAACCCTGGTCTGGCTGAGGTCATTGCAGAGGTTGGTGCAGTCATTCATAACTTCATTTGTTGATTGCTAACATGACTGACTGTGACAGAATCCCTGACTGTCAGCAGAAGTTTGTGTGCACTAATTGTAGTTTTATATAAAGTATAATGTCATGGTGTGATAGCCTTATTCCTGCTCTACTATACTTTCTTTGGCTTGCTCACATGTTAGAGAATCGGAGAGGACTTCATCCGCGACCTGGATCAGCTGAAAAAGCTTCATGATTTTGTCAATGATGAGGCTTTCATTCGAGATATCGCCAAAGTTAAACAGGTTAGAAACAAATGATATGTGGCCCATATCAATGGCCTCGTGGGTTTGGAATTTAAAACTGGTTGGTGTTCTCACCTCTTCTAGGAGAACAAACTGAAGTTTGCTGTGCACCTGGAAGAGCACTACAAAGTAAAGATCAACCCCAACTCAGTGTTTGATGTTCAGGTGAAGAGAATCCATGAATATAAGAGGCAGCTGCTCAACTGTCTGCACATTATCACTTTCTACAACCGTGAGTGATTCCTGCACTTTCACTCCTTCGTGTCCTCTTCTCACTATCAATCGGGTGTTTTCTATGAGGATCAAATTTTTTGATCACAAAATGAACATACATGTACAAATACATACATAGTTAAAATAAAATACCATAAAATAAAATAATATCCCCCCACCCTCTTCTCACTATTGCTTTGAGTCCTTTTATTTATTTATTTTTTACATTTTTGGAAGAGAAAACAAACATAAAAAATAATTTATATGAAATAAAATATATCCCACTATTGCAAATAAGCATAAATAAATAATTAATAAAAGAAAATAAGAATAAATAAATAATTAATACAAAATACCATCAAATAAAATAATATTTGTAAATAAATAATATTAGACAGGACTGTTTTTTTTTTTCAGAGGAGAATTTTTAAAAATATTTTTACATTTTTATTATGAATTATTTTTAAAGAAAAAGAAAATGAATGAAAAAAACAAAACAAAAAAACAATTATATATAAATTAAATAAACTAATAAAAAACAAAATAAAATGAAAATATTTTAGAAAATAAAATGTAACACTGTCCAACACACACAGCATCAGATAAAGGTGTTAAAGGTTTAGAGAAAGCTATTATGACATTTTTTTTTTGGTGTTATTTCTATATTGCAGGCATCAAGAAAGAGCCTAACAAGCAGTGGACCCCAAGAACAATTATGATTGGAGGAAAGGTGATCTTACCATGTCATATGACTTAAATGCAGTCAGATGTTTATTTAATTCTTTTGTTGTATTTGAATTCTAAGTGTCTGACAATTATGTTCTGTTCAATTCTTCCCAGGCTGCTCCAGGCTACCACACAGCTAAAATGATCATTCGTCTCATCACAGCTATAGGTGAGGTGGTCAACAAGGATCCTGTAGTGGGCGACCGCCTTAAAGTCATTTTCCTGGAGAACTACAGAGTCACCCTTGCTGAAAAAGGTGCCAACATATACGATTAATTTTAAATGTTTTAAGTAATTTTGTTTTATTTTTAATCATATCTTAATATTTTAATCATATAATTAAATTTTTGATAATTGCTGAGCTTTACTACCAGTGTCATTTTAGTATCATTGAAATACTTTTATAGTTTTTATTAATATTCTGAGATATATATATATATATATATATATATATATATATATTTATATTTCATTATTAGT